TTGTGTTTCTCGAGGTGATTTCGAATTGAGTTTGAAATTAGTGCTTCAAATAAATTTGAAATAGAGTGGTGGATGAGTGGAACAAGTTACAAAACATCATCATTAACTCGAAACGCTGGGTAGCTTCAAATATAGGATGGATGGATGGATATACGAGTGATACGGGTTGGGTGTAAAATGGACTGCCTGGTATGGGCCAATAGGCCCGCTGCAGTTTTCTCCATTATTATGTTCTTGTGAATGAACCTTGGGGATCGGAATATACAAAATTGCTGCGGTATAATCGTGACTTAAGATGTAAACTCACGATTATTGTTTTATATTTTAATTTATCGTCATGTTCACCAATGTTGGTGAAACAGCTAACTTTATTTAACGTTTCGTTATTGATTCAGGGATGGATCCGGGAATATCAAGGGGGTACAAGAAGCTGTGGGTGGGAAACACCCTATTATACCTCCATGGAAAGCATGGGCGAGCCTATCCAGCTGTGAGGTTTAGGGGAGGTGCTGAAAGTCCCCCAGATTTTATTTGTTTAAATCCGACCAATATAATGGGCATTTTGAAGTCATGTGCACTCAATATTAGGAGGTATTCTGAGGCCAACAATAATTACTTTTTACTATACAGAAACGCCTGAGTGCAATACTGCATTAAAGAAAAAGTATTGGAATCTTCTGTTGAAAAGGGAGGTCCGAACCCTCAGGACCCCCTGTAATTACCGCAATTGTTAAGTTGCTCGCTTTATGACTTTAGTTGTTGAAGCACAGTAAAACATAATAGCATCAACTTCTCATTTGTTTATTATCCAGATGCCGTAGGTAATCGGCCCCCGTTGTTGATTTATAATGCATATCGGTTTCAATAGTAATGATCTTAAGCGCGTACGTGTATGTACTGTTTACCGTTAGGCTCTACTCGGTTAATGCCGACATTGCAATAAGTACCACATATCGCAATTTGTTCGGGATTGATAAGTTCATGGCTGACAAGTATTGCCAATTCCCGACCTTTGTGGTATTATGACCACACACCACGCGTCTTGTATGGCATGACTATTATACTGTATGCCTCTGCAGGCGTACATATTCCAAAAATTACATATATTTCCTTGGTGCAGAATAAAATGGGTGTTGCTTAAATCTTAACAAACATTCTCATCGAAATTTTTAGTTACAGTTGCTCTGAAAAGGTGTGAGAGTTCCCATTACTCTTCGTCATTATGAAAGTCATGGCATACCTGTAGTTCGACCGCAGTTATTAATGGTGGTCATATATTGATTCCGTGTTTATTTCATTCGAAAATAATGTTGATTCTCCGCTCCGTTGATTTAATCCATCAGATAATGGTCATTAACGTAGCTTCATTCCATCCGTAATGATTAGGTGAGTCGTATGTAATTTATGATAAAAGTTTTCCTTCTATGGCTAATACTTGGCAACTCGTACTGGGTGGGGGTTGGGGGGATTGGAAACACAATCGACAGACAAGGCACGTAGGCTGCATGCAGGTTAGTGTTCAGTTGCTGGAACTATCGGGTTGAGGTGTGCGAGTTAGCAGAACTGGTGCTTTCACAACTGTTGAATTTCCCCGCCTGTCTCAGGCGTGGTGCATTATATATTTAGCGCTGTATCCGTGGTAGCTCAGTCAGCGCCGGGCATCCACCGTGTGGGTACGAGACCGGGAGATTAACAAAGTGGATACATTATTCCAGCTTCTTCAGTAGTCAAGTTACTCTAGTAAGAAATGTAATGTATTTCTGTTTTAATTGGCATCTATTATAAAAATAATTTAAAGTTTGTGATGTTCGAAATTTGTATGAAACGGGTGTTCAAATTAGGCCGATTTTTATTTTTAGTTGAAAATGTGAGTTTTTAATGTTAACATTTATATTTTTTTATTAATATCTTGACGATATCAAGAAATGTTCTGAGGCGGCATTTCAGAGTTAATGCGTTTACATACATGACTGTAGTGTACTCCTTTTTTTTTTCCTTGTGTGTTGGGGGCTGCTTTAGGTATTAACTTGTCTGCCTTTTGAGGATGTTGACTAACATATTGCCGAGTACGTACTGTACTGTATTGGAAACTTATTGTCCGATGCATAAGAGGTGTCGTCTGAATGTGTTTGCACGAAGTGAAGGCTACAGTATATGATAATGTCAGTGTACTGTATGTATGCTGGACTATACTTTTGTTTGAATATACAGTACTGTACATTTGGTATTAGTTGCTTGGAAATTTTGTAATGTTGTGACTTACGTGCATTTATTACTTGCCATAGAAGAGATCTTACACTCAATTAATTCATTGATGTTGCTTCCAAAGAGTGAGGCCTGTGCTATATTTTGTTTGAATGTATAAAACTTGGTATTATCACCCTTCTCTAAGTTACTGCACCAGTTAGTTAAAAAATCATTACAACATGATAATACTGTACATACAGTAGATGCCAGTTTTCTGTACAGTAGTTCAGCTTAATAGAATTAGTTGTCAAGTAGTGATAAATTGTTCATGCCACTGTGTATATTATGTATTCAGTTACATGTATTGAGGATTCAGCAGATCTAACACTATCAAACATGATAGCCCCGATAAAGGTCTCTATATGTCCGATGACTAGCTAATGGGATCAGGATGTTATGACCTCAATGAGTCTGCAATACAGTATCCCCCTTGATGTTCTTTGCATCATGTTCCCTTCATTTAATCTCTTAACTTAACCAACTAATTTGACATGACATCACCTTGACAGTATTGCTCTTGTTTACGAATGGAAAACATGATTATTTTGTGTGTGTGTGTGTGTCAAATTGGGCAATCTTTAAAATACCTGTGAAAATGTTTCGTTTCATGTTTATATTGTGTATATATTAGGTTAGGTTATTCGGCTGAAAACTGAAAAAAAATTAAAGTTCACTGAACCGAATCTGATTTAACCTAACCTAACATCGACACAATATTAACATGAAACGAAACATTTTCACTGGTATTTTACAGATTCCCCGATGTTACATTGACTGTAACAAACAGTACTTATTAGTTTCCCGAAGATTCTTGAAGGATCCCCTCACACGTAGTAAACGTACAGTACATCACGTGGCCATGGGTGGTCTCCCAAGTTGTGTAGTGTGAAATGAAGTGCATGTGTAGTGGATGTGATGTGGATGTTTAATGAAGCTTGCATATGTATTGGAAGTGAATTGGATTTATAATAGATGCTTAGTGGAGATGTGGATATGTAGTCAAGGTCAGTTTAGTTTTATTGATTATCTTGCGATTTTTTCATAAACAAACCATTGTCTATGTAACTACAGTAACTATATCCCCTATTCACATCATAATTAGTAATATAATCACAATACTGTATATTCTGTATTGTCGTCCATCTATAATATCTTGGAGAGTAAAGCGAGGATTTCCATATATGCGTTTGCGGTATGCGTTTGCATTATGAGTTTGCGTTAAATTGCCTTGGAAAACGGACACCCCTGTTTGCATTTGCAGTTGCATATTCTGTCTTGGTGGAAACAGGACAGGAAAGATGGCTCCCAGAGCATCGAAACTACACGCTATTTATATGAATAGAAGGATTTGCTATTAATTATCCTGGTTTTGTATAAGATCATGCGTGATGCAAAGAGAAAACGGTCAGGGAAACGATGTTGGGTGAATAAATTACTGCTGATTCGGCCCAAATTTGGAGCCTACAATACTTTGGTAAAAGAGCTAAGCTTGGATGAAGAAAACTCAAAGAATATTTTGAATAATTTGCTGGGTGGGGAGGGCACGTGTATGAAACAGGATCTAGTGACGTCACAGTGTGGGATTCCCTCGTCCGTTTCCATGTGGTTGCGTTTTCAATTGCTACAGGGACCGATTGAAATGTACTGCTGCAAACTCATAAAGCAAAAACTACCAAGCCAATCGAAACAACCATGTACATTTCAATATGATCTATTTTTGGCGCTACCGCTTGAATGGAATTTGGCTTATCAGTCAGAACACGTGATACAGCCGCCAGTATCCACTTGATCAGCAGCTTACTACTGTATACGTACGTTTTTCATCATCGTCTTCGTATGATATTTATTTATTAAGCCTTTAAAGACGTATTTAATTGAACATACAGTATTGAAAATATTTAATACTTCTCTAAGAAATGAAATATTAAATACATTTATGTAATGTAAGTTCCTCACTTTATCATTAATACCAATATTTAAAACAACTTAACAAATTACATATTTACGATACACGATGCATTGTCGTCCATCTCTAGTCTTGAAAATGTCCGATTTAGATCACATCAGGCGGTAAATATTCTCTACAATATTCTCTTAAAAGTGGCCAGCTAGCTTATATCTGTGTACTGTATTGGTCTCTATATTGAAATATCTCAAGGTTACTTGACACGGACTTTCCCTTCCATCTCACATTCTTGCCCTCGTCGGATCTCGGACATAACTGTAGGTCGAACGATGACATGCCAAGACGACTCCCAGATAAACGATTTCGGTAAACATTCGTCCATTGGCTGTGCTCGGTACGAAAATATTTTTTGTTTTGTTTTTTTGTTTTTGTGTGTTTTACTGAAATCTGACTTTCACAATAATAATCTTCGATTGTTAATCCTAATTCATATGTTATTCCTATAATTCAGTCTTCTTAATATTCTGTACGGTATATTCCTATAATAAACACAGTATTTCTAATCGGGTGCTACTAGTATAGCATGCAGTCTACAAACATATCTTTAGTCTAACCTGACCTAACATAACCTTACCTGACCTAACACAACCTTACCTGACCTAACACAACCTTACCTGACTTAACACAACCTAATCCAACCTAAGCTAATTTAATCTAAATATCTTGTAGACTGCACGCTATAGTAGCACCTCTTATAGAATTTGTGGTGGATGGACGATTTTTTTGTTATAATCGTCCATGTGAGAATCATCTAAGTGAGTTGGTAAAAACTGCACAGTAATGAGTAATGACTGTCATCCAGATGGGAATCATCCAAGTGAGATGACTGGTCGAAATCCGGCCTACTCAGAGTTGGTGAGGGTTTGCTTATGTATATGTTTTACAGATTGTCCTGTTAAGAATTTTGAATTTATTTATTGATATTACTGTACATTATACTGTAGTACTGTAAATAGAATGATTGTTTCTATGAAAAGGTTGTTGTAACTGCTCTAATCTGATCATTATTCTCCTCTTATCTCTTGTTACTTATCTTATCTACTCTCTCTTGTCTAGTATTGACCACAGTGACCAGTATGAATCTTTCCGTGATGCTACCCAGCTGGCCATGGCTGGTGACAGGGACCCTTACGGGTTTTGTTGCCTATTGTAACATGCCCCTGCATTGGAGAAGTCCCCCAAAGGAAGCTACACAAAGTAAGTTTACTTATTTATATGAAGCCATTACATATTTAGATTATGAAGTCCACATAATCATCCTAAGAATTATGGTTAGTTAATATTTTTCATGTTCAGATACTGTACTGGTTTTAAGGCTAATACTTCTGAAAAGATGAAAATATTCTGCAAATCAGTGGAATTTCAAGTACAGGTATCTAAGTTTCTAGAGCCATACTTGTTAATTTTATAAGGATCACTTTCCCTTGACCCCAGTGGAGGTCCAAACAACCCTATTTAGTCTTAACTTTAATTTCATATTACTGCTGCAGAGCTGACCCAAAGCTCATGACTTTTCAGATGCTCTGTTCAATATTTCCTTTTTTTTTGTTATTCACACCTGTATACAATATACTGTAGTACAGTACTGTATTGCATATTTATATAACATTGAAATTTGAACCTGGTATCATGAAGTCAAAGGTCAAGTGTTTGATGTGGTATACTGTGCAGTATACTGTATATCACTTGAGTTAATTTCACTGTTTATTATAATTATCCAAACTGCTCAAGTTTACATCTAAATAGGCATTAGAACCTTTAAGAAAATGTTGTACTTAGGGGGAAAGATGATGCAATATACAGGTACTGTACACTATGAACATATGTACATACAATAGTAGGTTTTATTGACTTACTATATATATCCAAAATTAAAATTAATTGGAGGTCACTTGCAGTATTATGTCAAGCATTTATTTGTTTTTTTATCTTTTTTCCATAACACCAATTTTGTATTATTCACGCTTAATGCTGCAAACTGTGAAAGACAATTACTGTATCAACAATTTTACAAGTGAAAAAAACATACGCTGAGAGGGGAGGGGTCAATGGTTGTAGTATGCCTTTAGAAATGTGAAAAATTCCATTCCATACTGTATCTTCCTGCACTATGTGAACAGTGCTTACAGCGATGCTCAGTATCAACAATGGCGGACATTATTCTGTATTGTCATTATGTATCCTTTAATAGTGCAAAAAGAATGTTTTTTATTTTAATTGTCTTTTAGTTTTTCGATACAATACAGTACATTGTAAAAAAAAAATAGTAAATTTTTCTTAGTGCTGTACAGTACACATTCAGGGGAGGGGATCTTGAAAAGTGTACTCTTTGTATGCTTGTGAAAATGTTGATAATTGTGAATGACCCTTAAGAAATATTTATGGAATATATACATAGAAAGTTAAGTCAGTGAGCACCCAAGAATATAAAAATTTGATTTTTTTTTTCACAGTACAGTACATAAACAGACTGCGCAATAGGCAGGGCTGCGTGAGTAAATCATGCAAACAAATGAATAGAAGGAGAACAACATTTTCCCTGTGTGTTCTCACCTGGGTGTGTCCATGATTCATTAGAAGCATTTGTAATGATAATCTGAGTTCATTATTCTCCACATAATAATATCCATTAAAAGGTGTTTTAATTTTTAAGGTAGAGGTAATTTTTGTGTTGTGTTTTGTTTACTTTGTGCAGGAGTTTAGTTTCCATTATTTATTTAAGTTGGTTAAGGAAAATTTTTTCTTCTTCAGACTGGTTAGCTGAAGCACCATTGAAACACCTTGGTAAGTCTGGATTGTTACTGAAAGGTGAAGACCTCTGGAGTGAGAATGGAGCTGTCATAATGGCAGTGAGGAGGCCAGGATGATCCCTGTGTAGAGAGGTTAGTATTTTTTTTATAAACCTCAGTGAAATTTTGTGTGGATTCCATAATTTTGTATACAGGTATATCCATCAGCAGTTTTCACTAATAATTTCACTTGGAAATAATTTATGAACTCCACTGTATTCTGAATTAATTTAATAATGATTTTCTAGCTTAATATTGCCATTACAGTGGCTACTTGTCAATAGACATTTTGTCACTGTAATCCTTCATTAAAGAATGCAAAATTCAGAGTACTACTGTACCTTTAATATCTTATCATTAGTAAATCAAATTACTGTACTGTAAAGTATTAATACAGTAAATGTAATATCGCCGTTAACTAGAATCCCTCTTAACTGGAACTCTCCGATAGCCGGAATTGAAATTTTCTTGGAAAATCGTTCCCAATGCCAAAATTTTCATGAAAATTCCGGCTTTGGGAACGATTTTCCGAGGGGCACATTTTCTGGAAAATTCCGAGAAAATTTTCTCAGAACCCGGAAAATTACAGAAAATTACAGGGATGGGGAGAGTGTTTTACGGGTTTGAGAGATGAAAATCGGGTGCATTTTCAAGAATCTCCAAAAAATTTTAACTTTACCTGGAAAATTCCTGGGATGGGGATATTTTTCCAGCTTTGAGAGATGAAATAATGCATCTTTCTGGAAAATTCCGGGATGGGGGATTTCTTTCTGGGTTCGAGAGATGATGTAATGCACAATTTCTGGAACTAACGAGAAAAATTTTCCGTTACCTGGAAAGTTCTGGGGATGAGGGATTTTTCTGGCTTTGAGAGTCGTCTCGTTACCCAGAAATTTCTCATTCCCGTAAGTGCTCTACACCAAATGTTCCGGCTAACGGAGGTATCACTTGTATGCTGATTTTACTGGAAATATACAGTGTTGGTGTAAAGAAAGTTAATTTTGGTAGAGGTTGATTTATAAAGGAAAAACACTGACACAGTTTTCTTATGACAGGAGGCATTGGCACTCTCCAGTCTTAAGAAACATTTTGAGGCAAAGAGAGTTCCCCTGTATGGCCTCCTCCATGAAGAACTGGGAGCTGAAGAATTTTCCCAGTTCTTCCAGGGTGAGCTGCTCCTTGATACAGAGCGACGATTCTATGGTCCTACAGAGCGTCGCATGCTGCTGACTGGGATGTTGAGGTGGAGTGTGTGGAGTAACATCATACGAGCCAACAAGAAGGGTGTTGAAGGCAACATGAAGGGGGATGGATCGCTGCTGGGAAGTGAGTTTTGTAGTTAACATGTATTGCACAATACAATTTTGGTATTACATTATTCAACAATTAGGAACACTTTTACAAAAAACAATGAGTTTCCAGTTTAACACAATCAATAGACAAATGCATTCTGAATGGACAAAGCTTCTTTGATACCCCACCTATAGTTCTCAGTTCTTCCATCTTGTGCATGTATGCCATATTAACTCTAAGCTTTGCTTTTCTTCCGTGTTGTACTAGTGGCACCCAATACAATCATGAGCACAAAATGATCAAAATACGTAATGAAAGTGCTTCTGTAACCAAAAAGCAAGGGAAATATATTTCATTAATGGTGAAAATTAAATAATTGAGCTGAATGACCATGAGAGCATTATGAGGAGGCACCTGTTTATTACATGTTGACTGTCAAAAGAATGTCAAATACATATAGCCACTCTCCACACATACACCAACCTGATACAAACAGCAGGACTCCACACATATGCAACCATGAAAATAGTGTTATAAAGGTGAGAAAAAATACTGTGTTGTATATAGAAAAATAAATATCACCACACCACACACACACAACCACTCTTGGGAGTGCATAGGTGGCAGTAGTGCAGGGAGCTGCCAATCTCATAAACTAATGCTTGAACATTGGCACTTTAAATCTAAAACAATGCAGATTTTTTAGCAGTACAGACTTAAATTTTGGAATTTAAGCTTTCAGTATAAATACATTAATAATTGATATTTTATATACTCGATGCATATATATACTGAAGTACAGGCACTTCCTGACTTACGACAGGGCTACATTCCAGGACCCTGATCGTAAAACGATGTGTTCATAACTCAGAAAATTGTAAATTCCCAATAAAATCCGCACTGATGCACAAGTGTGTGACTGCGTGGTAGCAAGTTAAAAAAATCAGCTGTTGAGGGGTGCTTGGCAACACTCCCTCTCTCTAATCATCCCCACCTTTTTGCTTTCTCACTCCATGTTTTCAAATGTTATGTAACCCCCAGGATACCGGGCCAAGCTGTGAGGTGTTATGGTTGTTTTGCATCTCGTATTTTTGGTTAGATGTACTTAATTTTCTTCATTTATTTTTTACTCTGTTACATGCACACACCATCCTACATGCATATTGTGAAAAAACGTAAAAGAAATACTGTAATTGTCATAAGGGGAACATATATTTCTTTGCACATGAGTTAGCTGGCTCAGTGGGGTAGCTGGTGCGGTGCGCAGAACAAAGTAGAGCGTACCACGCTTGGTTCATAAGTATTGCAGACGGTCATAAGTCACTTTAATTTTTTAAGAATATAATAGGGCGATGATCGTAAGTGCGGATGATTGTAACTCGGGGAGTGCCTTTACCTTACTAAGCACAATACAGTACATTAGTGTCATACACATGATCTCTCACAAACATGTAACCCTCACCTTTAAATGTTTTCGTATGAGATTATTAATTGCACTATAATATTTTCTCTACCTTCAAAATATTCCTTTGTGAATTACACTTTGTATAACCAGAGTCCAGTGCCACAGTACAGGGTATTTGATTGTATGTGTACCACTATATAGACTTCCAAACTCTTATCTTTCTGTAAAAAGTGAAGATATGCTTTCTGAGAGCAAGCATGACTAGACTAGAGACTTTGCTGATAGGATGAAATCCACTTTAAGAACAGGGTTGACTCGTGTAATGAAAATCTTTAATACCCTTGAATTTTAGAAATTAATCCTCAGCTGATTATAGCAATTATAGTATTTTCATTTTCTGTCTATCTGTACCATATTTCCTCTTCCACTTTTCTATGGGTGGATTAAGAGGTATGTACAGAAATTTCAATAGAAAAGGGGAAGATTGGTGAAAGATAGAGTGGAAAGTGACAATAAAAAGCTATGATGATGAATAGAAATACAGGTATCTACAAAAATACAGGCGTATTCAGATCTGGCCCATGGACACATAACTGACCACCTGAAATGTGATCCCCTTCATTTATAAAATCATAGTACTGCTAAATAATTTGTGGTTATATAGAATCTTGTATAGTACCTCAATACTACAACATTCCAAATTAATTACCACCACCACCACACTTATCACCAGAAAAGATCGAGATAGCTCAAACTCCAGTGTTATGGGACAATGCACAGCTCACTCTACACTGGTGTTCTTGCAGCTATATCATTATTACAGTATATCTTTAAGTATTAAATTATACTATTACAATCGGTAACTCTAACATTTGTATCAAGATATACTGTACTGCCAAGATGACTTGACTTTATCCAATGTGTGTTTTACCAGACATCAAGAAGCTGCTTTGAGTCAGCCAAATGTTCAATATTGTATTCATAAATTTCCCCTTTCATGGAGGTCACATCTAGGATATTTGCATGAATTAAGATTTGTGTACTGTTCATTATAACAGTAGATATTGGTTTTCGTGCTTATATTCAACGAAATAATCTGTGGTCATGGGTATTTGAGTGTCTCAGATTCTGTACTCTTGTGTTCGTGTGTACATTGCCACATGCCAAACACAATGAGACCCTGAATTAGACTCTCTCTAACCATTGTGGGCCAGAAATTATAGCTCACGACTGTAAATGCTTAAAAAGCTAACTTAAAGGTTGGAAAATATTATAATGGCAATTTGAATGTAATTATTATTGCTGATTTTGAGAGTTTGTGTGTGTTAACCATGTTTCAGTGTGTGAGATAGTAAAATACTGTACAGGATTTTTTCTAATTGTTGCATAATATCTATAGGTTTGATTTAACCATATTGTATAAATGTACATACCAGTACTTAGAAGGATTTAGATGAATATTAAAATAATCTTGAATTCTTGTTTTCAGGTTTGTTTTTGCTAGGTCCAGGGAAACAGGGAATATTGTACGAACACCGGGAGTTGGAATTTGGTGACCACCATAACAGCACTCTGCTTTTAGAGGCTTTGGATAAGATCAAATTAGTGAAGGAGTAATTATTGTTTAGTGTATTGTATGTACCCATAATTGAGTGTATGTGATATATATAGGGCAGCAGTTATGTACTTGTTTATTAAGTGTAAGATTGGGCTGTGATGTTTGAGTCAGTGAAACACTCGATATGTATAATTCTATACTGAACTTGAGAAATAAGCATTTATCTAACTTATTAAACTAGTTGTATAAAAAATTATGATGAAGAACTACACAGTACAATGCTAGAATATTCCAGCATAAAAGTTGATTAATTTATTGATAGTATTGATTAAATAACTACAAAACACATTTATCATCCTTGGTTCATATTGAACTTAAGAATATATGAACTGGCTGTTTATCCTCGATTAGCAAAAGTTATTCTACAAGTTGTGCATATATAGATTCCACTTAAAAAAGTATATGGTGCATTAAAGTTAAGGAGAGTGTGTTTTTTTAGAGGCAGCAGACACTGTTCGTGGTTTATACACACTTCTATCATTAAAATTTACATAGGAACTGAGTAAATATTTAGCTACATTACAGAAAACTTGTAAAATTTAGAAATGAAGGATAAATGGCCTGCAAATGTTCACTAGCAGTATTATTGGTATTTGATATATGTCTTTTCTGGTAATCTGCTGTTGTCTTCGAACTAATTATCATGCATGCAATATTTTCTTTCCTAGCTTATTCATTATGAACTTTTGATAGGTTTGAATTTATTAACTTTTTTCAGTCACAAGTTGTTCCGTCATTATGATAGTTCTGAGACAAACTTCATGCCACTTAGGACCACAGTAAATCCTTTCAATAATGGTATTTTGATAAATGGAATCTTCCAGTAAGTGGAATTGAAATGGGTTCTAGTAAAAAAAAAAAAAATCCCATCTCCAAGGTTCTGTTTTAGCATAACACTTTCCAGAGCCCCATGTGGTGACACTGCCTTGGTACACACAGCCCATCACCTTCTCATCATTTTTATGGACTTTATGCACTTTATAAACACATGACCATAGGTAAATTGTTGCAAAACAGTGGTAAAAGGTTGGGAGAAAAGCATACCGTAAATGCATTGATGTGAACACAAAACTTGAAATCATATAAAAACTCAATAAGAAAGTGCCGGAACAATACTTTATTGTATTTTAATTTGAGGGAATGTTAACTTATTGTTATTATTTTTTGCTGTTATGTTCAGTATTTATGTGTAGACATATATTTGGCGTCTGTGTTATGGTACTACAGTGCATAATCTCAAAATACGTTACTTTAGCAAAAAATTTCCAAGATATTTAAAGTAAATCTACAGTTACTTGAAGTGTCCAAGTGGATAATTTGCTAAAACAGAAGAACCTTGCATCAATTGTTCCTCTATTGGGAGGATTACTGTATTCAGTGATAATTTTAATATTTGACTTTTCATCAGGAAAAAGTTCTGAGAAAACTTTGCCATTTAGGAGTACAGGTATCTGTATTTAATGATCATATATTCTCAGTCTTTTTATCAAGAAAAGTTTAAAGTTTTGTGATTGTCAGTAGTATATAATGAAGAAATTTAATGATCATTTGTCCTTGATCTTCAGGAAAAGTTGAAAGCAACAGTTTTACATGACATTCAGAATCTGGTTTCATGCTAAGTTTCTTAAGGTTCATTATTTTATGGTGTGTAAATATTCTTTTATAATGATTGTTTCAAAGACAGCTATTTATGGTATGATAGGGAAAAAAGGTTGTTGGTGGAATATCTTCACAGATGGCATATGTGTCCAAGATTTGTACAACTAATTTTTACGGAGTTTCAAAATGATGGTATGTGCACAAACCCAAGATTGAGGAGCACAAACTGGATGATAAATTTACCCTGTAATTATTAGTTGTATAATATTAACCCCATGCTCATGCATCTGTGTTAACCTAAACCATGTAAGTGCAACTCGTCTTTCAAATGGTTAGATTAATTTGAAACTTAGTAGGTACTGTGTCATCATAGGTATTCAGGGATTAAGTTGACTAGTAACAATTTGCAGTATTTATATAAAAGTTTCTCAGGTTTATTTGGATTTTAATACTCCCCCTAGATTATAACTGAAAATGAAATAAGTGTACAATTGCATTTGAAGAACATTTTTATCAAAGAAAATATAAAATTTTGATAAAAATTGAAATTTTTTACAAAGAAAATGGAATATTTTTACAATAGAAATTAATTTTTTCATTGAAAACAGGCCTAATCAGATTTGCTATGGGCCTACTTAGAAGCAAGACACTTGAGTATGTAAACAGGCTGATCAGGTGTTGTCGCATTCGTCAGATTTATTTATTTATTGGTTCAGTATTACATTCTCATATGATTGGCCTCTTATGGTTTATAGTAATCATGATTTAAATCTTAAATAATAGAGAAAAAATACAACACTATGTAATTTGCAATATAGAGCAAAAACTACTGCACCTAGGGGTCCTACAGATCTGGCGCTCCCAGGGGCCCTGCGAGGGACGGTGGCACCCCCAAGGACCCTCTCAGGGGTGGTTGTGGCCCAAAGTAACCTCCCAGTGACGGTGGCGCCCCCATGGGCTCTCCCAGGGCAGAGGCGCCCACAGGAACCTTTCCAGGGGCGGCGGCACTTCCAGGGACCCTCCCAGGGATGGGGGGACCTTCAGGGTTTCTCCCAGGGGCTGTAACGCTCCCAGGGACGGTGCCATCAGGACCATCCCAGGTTCCCTCTAAAGGGCGGCAGCGCCTCCACGACTTTCCCAAGGTTGGCGGCGCCCCTAATGACTCTCCCAGGGGCGATGGTGCCCCCAGGGATATCGGACAGACATGAACGTTGAAAAAGGGACATCTACAGAAGTACACAAAAATTTCCATAAACTGTATCTAACAAAAATAACAGAGGTGACACTACTATTTCTTTGTTAGTGAAAAATGTAGTGCTATTTCCACTCTTAGGCATCATGACACATACAGGAAAATTAATGACACTAGTGATAGAGGAAAGATACACACTCGCTCATTATGCTTACTGATCCAGACACAGAGATCTGATTGAAAACTAAGTACAAATCACAGGGTATTGACACTACAAAGGTGACACACATACACTCGCACACTTGTGCTGACACGGAGATGACAACAGTATACAGTCATCCCTTGGTTATCACGCCTAATTGGGACTGCGCCGAGTGCGTGATAACGAAAAACGCGATAGCGAAAGTACAGGACCTATGGGATCTATTCTAATTGTTTCCAGGCACCCAAGACCCAACCCCAATTTTCCCATTTTACGACCATTTAGACCAGGGGTGTCATACTCACGGCCTGCGGGCCAAATGTGGCCCTTGGGATGGTCAGGTGTGGCCCGTGGGATGATGGTAAAATTTATCATACCGTGAAATTATGAAAGAAATAGATATAATCTTGTTTATTTAGTAAAATGAATTTTACATACTTAACAAACCCAAATGAGGTATTCCTGGTAAGCCAGGAAAGGCAATGTGTGAAGCTGTAAACTTCAATCCTTCAAATATGTGACATAGCACTTGTGTTGGCCCTGAAGAGGGTAACTAAAATAAGAATTGGCCCTCGAAAAGTATTGAGTTTGACACCACTGACTTAGACCCACTAAATATATAGATAATATTATGGTAAGTATCAGAAAAACACATAGGCATGGCTAGGTTTATTACAAAGTGATGAAAAGGGTGCGCTCAATACTGTAGTCCACAAAACATGTAGCTATGCTTTCTTATTTTGAGTCCTCCGTCTGTGAAGTCCGTTTTCTCATTGCATCAGGACGCCTGGGTCCTCCGTTTTCTCTCAATCTTAGACTTCACCCGTGACTTCGTTATTCCTTGGTTGACACAGCATTTTAAATTGCAACTGGGGTTGCAATTGTTGAGGCAACTTAGATATGTCTGATTACAGCAAATGTGTTATTGTCAATTTGTAGGTGAAAGAATTTATCCTCAATAGATGTAGGTGAAGCAAATGGGTCAAAACACCTGAAGGCAACTGCGTAATAATGAAATTCTGGGCTTGGAAAATGCGCTATGACAGGTGTGCAGAATTTGATGGAGGCGTGATAACGAAAATCGCGATAACCAAGTGCGCCATAACCAAGGGATGACTGTATATTAACCTTGTATCTGTGTATTCATCAGCTAACATTAAATTGTTCATGTATGCCATAACATAAATTACCACTCACATATCAAGTAAACAAATTATATATGATGTTTGAAACACTGTACTTTGTCAGTTGATAACCATACAAAAGGTATATTAAGTGCATGTTAACATAAAAGGATTTAATGTGAATATAGTCACGCTTTCTCTTAACCTCTTATATCTTCATACATAACTGGATATACAGTACTATTTTTCCGAGCGTCGTACCGCTGCACTGAAGTTGGGGGTGTTGTGCTGACTGACTGCTCTGTTCTCCTATTGGATGTTATTTGGATTTACATTTTAGTCCACCAATCACAGTTAAGTAAGGGATTGCTGGACATATGTAATATGTACGACACCACGACCGAAAGCTATAAGTCTCTTGGCAGAGGGCTGCTCTGGTAGGGCCCCTGAGAGGGCCTCTGAAGGTCTAGCTTCCCCTTGGGGCGCAACTGCTTCTGGAAGATCCCCTGGGAGCACCGCTGACCCTGAGGAGAGCCCCTGGGGGCATCACTTCTCCTAAGAAGAGCCCCTTGGGGCGACGTTACCCCTTGACAGGCTGCTGGGGGCGACGTTTCCCCTTCGTGGGCCCTTGGGGGCGCTACCACACCTGAGAGGTCCCAAGGGGGCACCGGTGCCTCTAAGAGAGCCCCTGTGGGTGCCACCGCACCTGGTAAAACCCCTGGGTGCGCCACCGCCCCTGGCAGGGCCCCTGGGTGTGCCACCACCCTTGGCATGGCCCATGGGGCACCGACACCTCTGGGATAGCCCCTAAGGGCGACGCACCTGGTAGGGCAAATATGAGGGCCCCAGGGGACACTATCACTGAATTGACCATGGGGGCAGTTGTTTTTGCGCATTTAGAACAATGGGAGATATGAATAAAAACACCGCCCATCGCATATTCAGTATCATCGCACCCATTAACAATGTAAAGGAGATTAAATATCCAACAGGAAAACATAAGTTGGGGTGTTGTGCTGACTGACTGCCCTGTTTTCCTATTGGCTGTTATTTGTATTTATATTTTAATCAACCAATCACAGTTAAGTAAGGGATTGGTGGACGTATGTAATATGTACGACACCACGACCCAAAGCTATAGTTCTCTTGGCAGGGGGCTCCTCTGGGAGGGCCCCTATGAAAGCCTCTTAGGGTCTAGCCGCCCCTTGGGGCGCCACTGCTTCTGGAAGATTCCCTGGGGGCACCGCTGACCCTGAGGAGAGCCCCTGGGGGCATCGCTTCCCCTAAGAAGAGCCCCTTGGGGCGATGTTACCCATTGGCGGGCCCCTGGGGGCGACGTTACCCCTTGGCGATCCCCTGGGGTTGACGTTCCCCCTTGGCGGGTCCCTGGGGGCGCCACCACAACTGAGAGGTCCCCTGGGGGCACCGGTGCCCCTAGGAGAGACCCTGTGGGCGCCACCGCACCTGGTAAAGCCCCTAATTGCGCCACCACCCCTGGCAGGGCCCATGCGTGTGCCGCCACCGTTGGCAGGGCCCCTGGGGGCACCGACACCCTTGGGATAGCCCATAAGGGTGACGAACCTGATAGGGCAAATTGGAGGGCCCCAAGGGACACTATCACTGGGTTGACCGTGGAGGCAGTTGTTTTTGCACATTTAGAACATTTAGAACAATGGGAGATATGAACAAAAACACTGCCCATCGCATTTCATGTATCATCGCCCCATCAACAATGTAAAGGAGAATAAATCTCCAACAGGAAAACATAAGTTGGGGTGTTGTGCTGACTGACTGCTCTGTTTTCCTATTGGCTGTTATTTGGATTTACATTTTAGTCCACCAATCACAGTTAAGTAAGGGATTGCTGGATGTATGCAATATGTACGGCACGACGACCGAAAGCTATAGGTCTCTTGGCAGGGGGCTTCTCTGGGAGGGCCCCTGAGAGGGCCCCTGAGGGTCTAGCTGCCCCTTGGGGCGCCATTGCTTCTGGAAGATCCCCTGGGGGCACCGCTGACCCTGAGGAGAGCCCCTGAGGGCATCGTTTCTCCTAAGAAGAGCCCCTTGGGGCGACGTTACCCCTTGACAGGCTCCTGGGAGCGACGTTTTTCCTTGGTCGACCCCTGGGGGCGCTACCACACCTGAGAGGTCCCATGGGAGCAGCGTTGCCTCTAGGAGAGCCCCTGTGGGTGCCACCGCACCTGGGAAAGTCCCTGGGTGCGCCACCGCCCCTGGAAGGGCCCCTTGGTGTGTCGCTACCCTTGGCATGGCCCCTGGGGGCACCGACACCCTTGGGATAGCCCCTAAGGGTGACGAACCTGATAGGGCAAAGAGGAGGGCCCCAGGAAACACTATCACTGGATTGACCCTGGGTCAGTTGTTTTTGCACATTTGGAACAATGGGAGATATGAATAAAAACACCGCCCATCGCATTTCCAGTATCATCGCACCCATCAACAATGTAAAGGAGAGTAAATATCCAACAGGAAAACATAAGTTGGGGTGTTGTGCTGACTGACTGCTCTGTTCTCCTATTGGCTGTTATTTGGATTTACATTTTAGTCCACCAATCACAGTTAAGTAAGGGATTGCTGGACGATTGCAATATGTACGACACCATGACCGAAAGCTTTAGGTCTCTTGGCAAGGGGCTCCTCTGGTAGGGCCCCTGAAAGGGCCCCTGAGGGTCTAGCTGGCCCTTGGGGCGCCACTACGTCTGGAAGATCCCCTGGGGGCACCGCTGACCCTGAGGAGAGCCCCTGGGGGCATCGCTTCCCCTAACAAGAGCCCCTTGGGGCGACGTTGCCCCTTGGCGGGCCCCTGGGGGTGACCTTCCCCTTTGGCGGGCCCCTGGGAGGGCCAGCACACCTGAGAGGTCCCCTGGGGGCACCGGTGCCCCTAGGAGAGACCCTGTGGGCGCCATCGCGCCTGGTAAAGCCCCTGTGTGGCCCACCATCCCTGGCAGGGACCCTGGGTGCGCTGCCACCCTTGGTAGAACCCCTGGGGGCACCGACACTCCTGGGAGAGCTTCTAAGCGTGACATACCTGGTAGGGCAAATAGTAGGGCCTCTGGGGACATTATCACTGGATTGACCGTGGGGGCAGTTGTTTTCGCACATTTAGAACAATGGTAGATATGAATAAAAACACCGCCCATCGCATATCCTGTATCATCACACCATCAACAATGTAAAGGAGAATAAATATCCAACAGGAAAACATAAGTTGGGGTGTTGTGCTGACTGACTGCCCTGTTCTCCTATTGGCTGTTATTTGTATTTATATTTTAATCCACCAATCACAGTTAAATATGGGATTGGTGGACGTATGTAATATGTACGACACCACGACCCAAAGCTATAGTTCTCTTGGCAGGGGGCTCCTCTGGGAGGGCCCCTATGAAGGCCCCTTAGGGTTTAGCCGCCCCTTGGGGCGCCACAGCTTCTGCAAGATCCCCTGGGGGCATTGCTTCCCCTAAGAAAAGCTCCTAGGTGCGACGTTACCCCTTGGCGGGCCCCTGGGGGCGATGTTTCCCCTTCGTGGGCCCCTGGGGGTGCTACCACACCTGAGAGGTCCCATGGGGGCACCGGTGCCTCAAGGAGAGCCCCTCTGGGTGCCACCGCACCTGGTAAAGCCCCTGGTTGCGCCACCGCTTCTGGCAGGGCCCTTGGGTGTGCCGCCACCCTTGGCATGGTCCCTGGGGGCACCGACACCCCAAGGATAGCCCCTGAGGGCACTGACACCCCTGGGATAGCACCAAAGGGCGACATACCTGGTAGGGCAAATAGGAGGGCCCCAGGGGACACTATCACTGGATTGACCGTGGGGGCAGTTGTTTTTGCACATTTAGAACAATGGTGGATATGAATAAAAACACCGCCCATCGCATATCCTGTATCATCACACCATCAACAATGTAAAGGAGAATAAATATCCAACAGGAAAACATAAGTTGGGGTGTTGTGCTGACTGACTGCCCTGTTCTCCTATTGGCTGTTATTTGTATTTATATTTTAATCCACCAATCACAGTTAAATATGGGATTGGTGGACGTATGTAATATGTACGACACCACGACCCAAAGCTATAGTTCTCTTGGCAGGGGGCTCCTCTGGGAGGGCCCCTATGAAGGCCCCTTACGGTTTAGCCGCCCCTTGGGGCGCCACTGCTTCTGCAAGATCCCCTGGGGGCATTGCTTCCCCTAAGAAAAGCTCCTAGGTGCGACGTTACCCCTTGGCGGGCCCCTGGGGGCGATGTTTCCCCTTCGTGGGCCCCTGGGGGTGCTACCACACCTGAGAGGTCCCATGGGGGCACCGGTGCCTCAAGGAGAGCCCCTCTGGGTGCCACCGCACCTGGTAAAGCCCCTGGGTGCGCCACCTCCCCTGGCAGGGCCCCTGGGTGCGTCCCCACCCTTTGCAGGGCCCCTGGGGGCACGGACACCCCTGGGAGAGCCCCTAAGGGCGGGGCACCTGGTAGGGCAAACATTAGGGCCTCATGGGGCACTATCACTTGCTTGACCGTAGGGGAAGTTTTATTTTGCACATTTAGAACATAGGGAGATATGAATAAAAACACCGCCCATTGCATTTCCAGTATCATCGCACCATCAACAATGTAAAGGAGAATAATTATCCAACAGGAAAACATAAGTTGGGGTGTTGTGCTGACGGACTGCTCTGTTCTTCTATTGGCTGTTATTTGGATTTTCATTTTAGTCCACCAATCACAGTTAAGTAAGGGATTGCTGGACGTATGCAATATGTGTACGACTTTTCCGTCCAGCCAGATACTCTTGAGGAGCTACTCTGGTAGGAGCCCTGAGATGGCTCCTCAGGGTTTTAGCTGCTTGCAGGAGTGCCACTGCTTCTGGAAATCACCTGGGGCACCGCTGACCTGAGGAGAGCCCCAGAATATCCTTCCCTAAGAAAAGGCTTGCCCAGGGGCGATGTTACCGATGGCGGCCTGGGGGAACCGACGTTACCCTTAACGGTCCCCTGGGGTTGACGTTCTATGGCAGGCCTAGAGCACCACACTACAACTGAGAGAGGTCCTAGGGAGTCACCGGTGCCCTAGGAGAGACCTGGCGGGCTTACGCCCTGGTAAAGCCCTAATTGCGCCACAACCCCTGGCGCAGGGGCCCCATCGTGTGCCGCCACCGTTAGCCGCAGGAGCCCTGGAAGTCTCCTGCGACACCCTTGGGATGGCCATAAGGGTGACCCGAACCTGATAGGGCAAAATAGGAGGGCCCCCAAGGGACACTCACTGTAATACAATTGACCAAATGAGGCAGTTGTTTTTGCACATTTAGAACATTAGGAACAATGGAGATATGAACAAAAACACTGCCCATCGCATTTCATGTATCATCGCTTACATCAACAATGTAAAAGGAGAATAAATCTCCAACAGGAAAACATAAGTTGGGGGTGTTGTGCTTAACGATGACTCTCTGTTTTTTCTATTGGCTGTTATTTGGATTTACATTTAGTCCATAATCACAGTTAAGTAAGGATTGCTGGATGTATACTGTGTGCAGCTTTGTGACCAGCCTGGGTCTCTTGGCAGGGAAAGCTTCTCTGGAGGCCTGAGGAGCCCTGGTCTAGCTGCCCCTTAGAGGCGCCATTGGCCTCTGGAAGATCCTGGGGGTGTGACCTGAGAGAGAGCCCCTGAGGGCATCATTTCTCCCTAGAAGAGCCCCTTGGGGCAGCGTTACCCCTTGACCAGGCTCCTGGGGCGACGTTTTTGCTGGTCGACCCCTGGGGAATCTTCACCACACCTGAGAGGTCCCATAGAACAGCGTTGCCTCTGGGAGAGAGCCCCTGTGGGTGCCACCGCACCTGGGAGAGTCCTAGGTGTACCGCCCTGGAAGGGGCCCTTGGTGTGTAAGCTGCCCTTGGCATGGCCTGGGGAGTCACCATTTACCCATAGGATAGCCCCTAAGGGTGGCAGACCTGATAGGAGGGCAAAGAGGGAGGGCCCAGAAACACTATCACTGGATTGACCCTGGGTCAGTTGTTTTTGCATTTGGAACAATGGGAGATATGAATAAAAAGCTTACCGCCCATCGCATTTCCAGTATCA